TCACCTCTGCCACAAGTTCTGATTCCTTGTGGTATCTGAACAATTTTAAAATGACTTTCAAATCATGTTTAGGGCTGTTAGATATTGGGACACCATTGAAAGGCCAGACCATACACTTTTGGAATGCTAAAAGGCTACATACCTTACTATATTATACATACCTTTTTTTAATTGACCTTTCAATTAATTTATTTTGCTTTTTAACAGCATCTCATTCCTGTAGCTCTACAACCCCCCCAGAAATGCCCACTTAGCTCTCTTCTAACTCTAGTCTTTAATACAGATTTATTCCTTAGCTTAATCACTATATTACTGAGACTGTGGGCAGACAAAATTATACTGCTTTGCAAGGAGAGGCTTCAGCTCATAAATGTGCATCAGCTGATCTGTTGTGATTATTTAATTTGTTTCCTTCCCCATAATAAGTGAAGTTAAACCACAATAACTTATCCCTGTACAAAACACGAGGGTAAGTATTGCAGTGCATCTTCCAGTTACCCCACAATAACTGACCAACAAAAGTTACAGCAGATTGACTGACTTCTCCCCTGAAATTGTTTCCTCTGTCCACACAGAGTTTTCTCACTAAAATATGAGCTGACTGACTGAAGACTTTTCTCTCCATATTTGATCTTGTGAAAAAGTAAAAAGCAGATATTAAAAATAGCAAATGTCTTAAATGTTTGGCTCTTCTTTTTTTTTTTTTAAATGGTTTCTTTTGTTTTCATTCTTCAGATTTTCTGTTTAAGTTCTTAGTCATTGGAAATGCTGGAACTGGCAAGTCCTGTTTACTTCATCAATTTATTGAGAAGAAATGTAAGTATACTTGAGGATAGTGAGCGCTTGACATTTTATCAGTACAGCATTTTAAACTAATGACTATCTATATTGATCTTAATTCTTTGCTAGCTTCAACCACTTCTAGGCTGTAGTTAGCAAAATGTATTTCCACAATCTAGATGTGGATTTCCTGAGAAGTGTGTGGCTTGAGCCGTGTTATAAAACTGCATAGTATACTTAATCTCTGTAGTGTAGAGCTTAATGTGTAGTCATAATCCCTTTCTGCAAAGGCCTGGCAAGCCACGCTAAAGCATGTTAATAATGAGTCATTTTAAACAAATAACTAACACGTTTCTAATTACAGAGTGGAGCTGGCTAAAACTCATCAGAATACATATTTCTTTGTATGCTTATGCAGAAGGCTCTCAAGTTATTTTACATATCTAAGTGGACAGATGAGGCAAAGAGTAGTTGCCCAAAGATGCACAGGAAGTCTGTTGGTCAAGATCTATAATCCAGGTTCCCTAACTCTCAATATCTTTGAGTGAAAGTCATGAGACTTGGAAAGCTAGAAACTCTGCTTTTCATGCTAAGTAATTGGCAGTGGTTTTCTTTAAATCTGCTGAGTGTTTACTTGTTTGTTTTACATTTATGATGATAATTAAAAATAAATACCTAGGGTTCCGAAATACAACATAGTAAGATGTGGGTGTACCTTGTACAGTTTGTGGCCGATGAATAAGCTATTTTAGCTCTTGAGTGGCCCAAGAACAGATGATATACATTTATCAAGCAACCCTTACATGGCTTCATATTTGCACTGTGAAGGTGATCATATAGTTAAATATGAATGCATGTTTTACTGAATGTTTTGTAATATCAGTTGTGAGTATAGGTGAAAGTGTATACAGGCAGTCCTCAGACTTGCGACCAATTGGTTCCTGAAAACCGTATCTTAAGTCAAAACATTGTAACTCGGAACCAATTTTCCCATAGGAAACAATGTTATAAATGGGGGTTTGGTTCCTGAAATAAGGCCCAATACCCTATTTTCACCAAAAATAACCCAGAATTTTGTACTCAGTCAATTACAGATGAGTAATATAGCTATACTAATGTATTTATATTGTAAATAGCAGTCATGTTGATTTGGAAGGACTTGTTTGAGGTGACTTTGCTGGACTTCTTGAAGGACTCTTGATTGGATTTAAAGGGCTCTTGGCTGGAGTCTTCTGAGGAGTTTTGTCTGCAGGTTTTTCTGGAGTCTTGTCTGCTTTCTTAATGAAAGTTTCCAAGGAAGTTTGGACAGGGAGATAGGTGACACAGCAAACTTGTTCAGTGGCGTGGCGTGGCGTAGGATCAGGCGTTGTAAAGTTGAAGCTTACATCAGAAAGTTGAAACAGGGTGTTAATTTATAAAGGTTGTAACTCGAAACATTGTAAGTTGAGGACTGCCTGTACTTCTCTTCTTCACACACCCAATCCT